ACAATGTGACACCTTGCTGAATTAAATTTCAACTAAATCGGTGTAATCCAAATTTGGCGACAAAAAATACTATCACCAATCGTATCATTCACCAGTTACTCCTCCCTCGTTTCGGAAAAACAATAAAAAGAAAAAAAAAAACCCGAAAATCAGAAAGGTTTCGGATTTTAAATTAAGTCCAAAGGGGCATTTTTTTTAACATTTTGTGTATTACCTTTATTTATTAAATATCATGTTCTTCGCAATTAAACCATAAAATTCAGTTCAACAGTAATATCGCAAAATAATTTTTAATTGAGCATATCTTTAGAATTCCTGATACACAGTCTCACGCGCTGGAGATAAAAATGTTTTTTCTGTACAACGTTGCAATTGTTCCCTGAAATCCTTGAGTTTGTTAATCAGAAATTTATTAAAGTTTTAAAAAATATGAAATCGATAATAAAAAAATTTCCAAATTTCAAATCTGGAGGTCCAGTCGCCTATGTTCGGGGGGAGGATTACGTCATTCAAAATGCCCATATTCGCAGTAGGATTCCATCGTCCAAAATTTGATGGTTCTAGGTACCGTTGTTTTATAACAATGCGAGACACACAAACATTTATGCAGATTCTTCATTATTTAATTTCTTCAAATATAATACAGGGCGATAATATTTGGTGGCAAAAATTTGAAAAGTGAAACGGACATTCAGAGTGATTCGACGCAAAATTGCAAAATGAAAACAATAGTCCCTCAGGAACAGCGCCCATTGGACTAAAAATAATTAAAAAAATTCTGGAAGCTTTCAGGTCTGATATTAGGCCCGATCGGCCATTTTTTACTTCCTTGTACGAAGTAAAAAGGAAGTATTGTAATCGCGAAAAGTTTCAGGCAGCATAGTTCAACGAAAATATCCATTTTGACCGCTATCGAATGCGATTTAACGATGTCTTTGCGTGACATCTGTACGTAAGGACAGAATAAAAGACTTTTTTCCTCCAAAAAAAAATTATAAAACTGCTTTAAAATGAATTCTGAAAAGAATTTTTCGTGGTGTCTGTACGTACGTATGTATCTCGTAGCTCAAAATATACCTTTTGGATGATTATTAAAACATCAATTATCCCTTTCAGATTTTTAATTCCTTCCACGAAGTAAAAAGGAACTATTGTAATCGCGAAAATTTTCAGGCATTATATTTCAATGCAAATATCCATTTGGTCACCGCTATCGAATGCAATTTAACGATGTTTTTGCGTGACATGTTTACGTAAGGACAGAGTAAAATATTGTAAAACTAATTTAAAATGAATTCTGAAGAGAATTTTTCGTGGCGTCTGTGCGTACGTACGTATGTATTTACAGTGGTGGCCAAAATTGTGGACACTTATGGAAATTTTTATGTTTTTGAACTTTGTATGCTTATAGAAAACGCTACGTTTCACAAAATGCAAACTTGTATATATCATTTTAAAGAGAACTTATTGCTGAATTCAATACAAAACACAAAATTCAATTATTTGCAATATAAAAAAGTTAAACGATAATAGTTATCGATATACATTAGATAGTGATGATTGCAGTGAGTTATCAGTACTTAGTAGGGTACCCTTTATTTTTGCTTACAGCTTCACATCGACGATTCATTGAGCTGACGAGAGTTTTAAGCTCTTCTTTCGTTATTACATGATGCCAGGAAACAATTATAGCCTCAATTAGTTCCCTTTTATTTGATGGGCACCTCATTCGGACAAGAGTTTTCGAACGGTGCCACAAATTTTCGATAGGATTGAGGTCAGGACTGTTTCCTGGCCATGACAACAATTTAATGCTCTTTGTACGAAACCACTCTTTCGATATTTGGGTTGTGTGGCAAGGAGCAGAATCCTGCTGAAAAATAAACGAAGCGTTGTTGGGAAAGAGATCTCTGATGGAAGGTAGAAGTTTTGGTTCTAGAATAGTTTCAATGTATTTTCTGGCATTCAGTGTCCCATCGATGACATAAAGGCGACCAATACCATCTGCTGACATGCATGACCAAATCATGACACTAACTGGGTTCTTCACAGTTGCTTGAATGCAGTCAGGATGTAGCTCTTCTCCTATTCTACGCCTTACATGTTTTCGCCCATCACTACCGAATAACGATATCTTAGTTTCATCACTCCATATAACTCATATAACTTGTGACCAGTGATCATCTGTCCAATTAATGTGTTCCTTTGCCCACTGTAGTCTTTTTTTTTCGTTGCTGAAAATTAAGATAAGGCTTTTTTCGTGGAATTCTACATCTCAGTCCAACATCTGTTAATCTTCTCCTGATTGTTCTTGAACTGACAGAAACACCAGCATCATTCAGATCATTTCTGATGGCCGCTGATGGCATTTTTCTATCTTGGAGACATAGCCTTTTTATTCTTCTGTCATCAATAGATGTGGTGCACCTTTTTCGGCCTTTTTCCTTCTTTGCTTTTTTATTGAATTTGTCTCCTGATATCGTAAACAAAACTTTCGGACTCCAGATGTAGTCACTGACCCACCCACCTGTCTTGCAATTTCAGCATAGGAAAGACCACTTTATCGTAACACAGTAATATTACATCTCTTTCTAGGTGTCCAATCTACTCTTTTATTGGATGTCATTGCTTCTTGACTATATATTAAAAATTTTTACAAAAATTCCTACTTGTAATTGCAGTGTATAAGAAACAGGCCCTCCTTCTACAGAACAAAGCAAAATAATGAATTGTTTCAAGTGTAAACATGATGTCAACTTCTACTGGCAGTTACTAAAATTTGATTGGGTCTCAGGACAAGAGCAGTGATTGGCCAGGTAAGCTAGACATTACAAACCTCTTCATAACTGTGTTTTTTATTTATATTAAAGTACATATAACTTTTTTGTATTGCAAATAATTGAATTTTGTGTTTTGTATTGAATTCAGTAATAAATTCTCTTTAAAATGATATATACAAGTTTGCATTTTGCGAAACGTAACATTTTCTATAAGCATACAAATTTCAAAAACATAAATATTTTCAAAAGTGTCCACAATTTTGGCCACCACTGTATATCGCATAACTCGAAAACGACTAGCCTCAGAACTTTGAAATTTTGTATATAGGACTGCTATAACAGGTACATGAGCACCTCCTATTTTTGTTGCAATCGGCCGCACCAAACGCATATAAATGTATTTATATATATATATATATATCCACTCTGCTACCCGGCTCATTGATCACAGTATCTTTACGCTTATATATTTGTAAATTGTGCATTTTTTGCTTTAAAAATGATTGAATTATGTTGTTTTTATCTTCCGGTTAAGGTTTTTATGCCTTTAGTAAATCTGCAAGCAATATTTGTACAAGTATCAACAATTTAAAAGCTGTTTAAGTGCGGTTAAGCCTAATTTTTAAATAACATGGCGGACATGTTTGTTTACATTTGAAACAGCAGAATAGTAGATTTGTTGCCAAGCTAGAGAGACTAAGCTTCGCTACAACAAAGATAAGGCCTTCATTTATTATTGCGACTTAAATCATGCTGAATCTTTTCTGGAATTTTTTCGAGGAAATAAGTGTTTAAGATTTACTTCGTAATTTTTAATATAGATATTTTGAGTTTTTATGTATTTTTGATTTGTCGCGAAGTGAGATTTGAATTAATTGAATGAGAAATATTGAATCGTCTGTAAACAAAATTTCCCTTTTTTTTTTTTTTTTTTTTGTTGTTGTTGTTCTTTGCTTAATTTCTTTTATACATCGGTTTAGATTTATTATAGTATTTGAATAGAACATGTGGCAACGATTAGATAATTCTTAAGATGATATAAATTTTGTGCATTCTGAGTTAAAAAATGAATGAAATGTAACGCTGTTAAGTGAACCTAGCGCCAGAGTGTCGCTATGGTAAACAAATATAGTGAATTTTAAAGAGTGCATTTATTCTATTGTGGTTTATGCGCTATCGAGGAAGTAAATTTAATTCAATCCAATAAGTTTAAATGAAATGCAAGAAAAAATGCGTATAATTTAATATTCTGTACAAGGAAGTCGTGGTGCACACATCAGATTTTTTTATTTTATTTTATTGCTTTTGATATCAGAATTCTTTAACTCATTTTTTTAAATTTCAACTCCGCATAAATTTTATTATTATAATTACTTTAAAACTCTCTTAACCGGTAGCAAGAGGACTTCTCCGATTCCGGATAAGAGATCACACCTGGTAATTGAATATATGAATATTTCTATAACATTATGTCCTGACACAGATGAACATTGCGCGGCAAATCTTATTAAAATCTTCAATCTTTTCATCGGTCTTCTTCTACATAACTGTTTTATTATACGTGTCCAGTTCACCTTCATCTTTTCATCGTCCTCTCAGTTTCCTCCTTTCCCAGTGCATGCCCATTTATTTCGTAGTCATTTTGAGAGATTGTGACGGGAATAGAATTGTCTACATTCATCCATAGATCTACACTTCCTGTTCACGTTTTCACTTCATCAAGAAACTTTAACAAGTCATACTTTGAAAAATGCCATTGTATTCCTTGAAAAAATGAATAGTGCTACAGATATTGCGTAATATACCTTTCTGCAAAGTCCCTTGACGTTTTATCTACGGGCTACTGTGCTTTTGGTCTCTTGAAAAGAGCTTTTTGTGAGGAAAAGAAATTGAAATCTGTACCTGTGGTACCTGTTTTCACAATATATCCTTCTGTCATAAAAATTACGACGCAGGCTTATAGTCCAGAAAAGGGCTGTTAGATCGGTCATTTAAAATAATATTCTTTGCATTTGAAATATTAATTAGACTCTCCAAAATCGTTCTTAAAATGTGTAAACATTTTCTGCACTTAGCATTTCCTTCAGGAAATTCATCAGACTCATTATTTAGTTGCATATTATGATGTTCACTGATTTCTTGACGATCACTAGAACATTTCAAATGTTATACTTTAATCATATGTTTGTTAATTCAATGTACTCTCTCTTTCTCACTTAGGTTATGTTCCAATAGAAAGGAAGATGTATTTTAGATGTCCTATATCTTGGGGAGCATTGCCTAATCCAGATGACTGTGAGAAATATTATTCGTGTGTCAACTATAAACCTCAACACAAGATGTGTCCCAGCTCTCAAATGTTTGATCGAATTGAAATGAAATGTCTCGACCACAAAGTTGCCGTTTGTGCTCATAATACAGGTGGAGATTCATCTTTTATTTGTAATGACCATTCAAAATAAGCCTTGACATTCAAAATATATTTATAATCGCAAGGATAAATAGTAAAATCAACTAAAAAATAACTTTTCGTTATAGATTTTAATTTTTGATTTACGGAACAAAGAATTTAAAAATACTTCTATTTTGACATCTTTTTTTTATAACTCTATAGATTTAATAGAAGGCACTTTGCGCTTACGAAACAAAACTCTGCCACATGCAGAAAATACAAATAACATAATTTGAAGTTTAAATTCAGGTAAAGGATTCGGAGACTACACAGAAAAGTCTGCTTAAACTGTCTCAAATATTTAACGGCGTACTTTAACGTCGGCTTGCAAAATGACTAAAGCAAGAATAAACTTTGGTAGAACTGGCAATATGACGTAACTGCAAGCGAGGCTGACAAGAGCTCTAAAACATTCAAACCCACAGTTTAAATACTCACGCGGTTAATTTGCATTCTGGTGAGGTCTACGGAAAGAAGTAAGGGTAATGCTTAAAATCATAGTACTTGATTAGTTAACATAAATCTTCCAAATTGTTCGAGTAATTTCCCTTTCTCGAGTTTTGTGCAATAGAATTAGTGAAAAACGGGGGAAATACGTCAGTAAACAAAGTATATAAGAATGTACTTTGCACTTTATATTTTGAAAATTTTATTTTAATAATTGTAAAACTTGAATTTCTGAGATTTTACTTGACAGGTGTTGTTGACGAAAGCTACAAATGCCCTCTGACTTGGGGATTATTCATTCATCCTCAAGACTGCTCTAAATACTACCAGTGTATTCGAGACAAGCCTCTTCTTAGAGCATGTGATAGAGGGAAACTGTTTAATTCACATAAAGGAATATGTGAAAGAAAGGAAGTCGTTGAGTGTGGATCCACAAGCAAGCCTTACGGTAATATATGATGCTTCTTTTAAACTAAATAACTAACTAAATAAAATAACTACTTTTTCTTTTAAATTTTTTCTATAATTAATCAAACTAAGCTATTTAAAAGCAATAAACGCATTTTATTTCAATATTATTAGCTACTAACTAGACACGTGAAATTACTTTAGCTGTATTCATTAAAATTATCATATATTTTTATATTAGCTATTTCAGACGACTGGCCATGCAAGCGGCTAGTCTTTAAAACTGCAAATCGGACATAGATTTTTGCACCTCAAATAAATAAATAAATAAATAAAAAAAATCTGAAATGTTTCAGATTTTAAATTACGTCCAAAGGGGCGTTTTTTAACATTTTGTGTGTTACCTTTCTTTATTAAATATCATGTTCCTCGCACTTAAACCATAAGATCCAGTGCAACAGCAATATCGCAAAATAGTTTTAAAACGAGCATATCTTTAGAATTTCCGATACAGAGACTCACGCGCTGGAGATAAAAATGTTTTTTTTCTGCACAACGTTGCCATTGCTCGCTTTGAAATCCTTGAGTTTGTTAATCAAAAATTCGTCAAAGTTTTAAAAAATAGGAAATCGATCATAAAACAAATTTCAAATTTGGTCTTCCACATGCTCATATTCGTTGGAGGATTACGTTATTCAAAATTCGATGACTCTATGTACCGTTATTTTATGACAATGTGAGAAATATACATACATTTACGCAGATTTTTCATTATTTAATTTCTTCAAATATAATGCAGGACTCTAACATTTTATGGCAACAGTTTGAAAAGTGAACCGACATTTATCCGTCCGACGCAAAATGCCAAAACGAAACTAATAGTCCTTCGGGATTCAAATCCCTTTGGACTAATAAATTAAAAAAAGTTTAAAAAATCTGAAAGCTTTCAAGTTTTATATTACGCTCGAAGAGGCGGTTTTTTTTAAATGTTTTGTGTGCTAGCTGTATTTATTAAATATCATCTTCTTCGCTCTTAAACCACATAAAACTTAATTCAACAGTAACATCACAAAATATCTAAAAACAGTATATCTTTAGAATTTCCGATATTTAGACATAGCATATCTTTAGAATTATATTTCACGCATTTCCTAGGTATGCTATGCAGTTGTCAAAACGCAATCCGGCAAAGTATAGAATACTCCCGCCAATGATATTTTTACGTGACAAGGCATATGATTTTGGACGCCCACCTCAGATGGAGAATTCGTTATTTCCCTTTCTTTCTTTGTTCGAAAGAGAAGACCTTTACGAAAAATTTTTATACAAACTAACAGAGCTCTGTAAAAATTTCTGCAGAGACCCTATAGAGCAGTGGTCTCAAACTCAAATTTCATTCGGGCGGAATGCACGATATAAGAGCAGTTGATGAGCCCGTTTGTTACTAACAAAATAAAAACAAAAATTTAAAAAAATTGAATTATTGAATTTAACCTACTAAATATTTTTTAAACATACATTATGAGTAATAATAATATCGCAATGGAAAAATAAGAAGCAAATTTTTTTATTTATTTTTTATCTGATAAATGAAGTTTAGTATTTGTACGACATTTTTGTTGATTACGCTATACTGACATCTAAATATTAATTTTCAGACTAATAACTTCATTCATTTTAATTTCAGACTAATATTAATACATTTTCGGACTGAAATTTATTTAAAATAGTTCTAAAATGTTTAATTAATCATATAACAATTTACTTTAGATTAGAACAAAACAAACCTCTCGTGGCTTCCTTGTACAGCCTATTAAATTATACCCATTTCTTGCTGTACTTAATTTAAACTTATTTAATCGAATTATTATAACGTAGTGAACCGATCCCTCGAGGCAAGTTGAAGATGAGATCAAAAACTGCAAATTTTGATATTAAATATCTCTGTCACTTTTTGTCGTATAGGAGTCAATTTTCTTATATTTTTATTTTTTCGCAGCGAGGATAGAACTTTCCCAGATAGCTGTAAATATAGGAGCCGGGGAGACCTCGTTAAAAGTTAGATTTTGTTACTTGTTTCAAATTAAATTTTTTTTTAAATTTAAAACTGCTGAAACTCAAATATTTGCGTCATTTAAAACACTTCTGTAATTGGATATATATAACTACGACCAAAAATTGCGAAAATAATGACCGGGTAAGGACTTTTAAACTGTGTAAGGGAGTTGGTGTGTGTGTATATATATATATATATACACTTTTGGTACCTCCGATTGCAATAAAAAAATGATGTTATAGTAGTCCCATTTACAAAATTTCAATTTCTATTGCTAATCGTTGTACGTACAGACGTCATGCAAAAAAAGCAGTCAAAATGGATTCGGAAACGGTCAAAACGGATATTTCTGTTGAAATCTGAAAACGGAATTTGTTTGCAATTGCAGTACTTCCTTTACTTCATACAAAAATGTAATAAGCAAGTGAGGAAAACTTTCGAATTTTTCAGATAAAATTTTCTATGTGAAACAAAACTTGAGACTACATCATGACAGTTTAGTCTCCTTCTGTTATTTATTAAATTTTTCTTCGATGTTTAAATACATATGTTTGCATATAAATTACCATAAACTTCTTTAGTTTTTACTACAGCTTGAACCTTGATGGCGTTTCGATTCAGATAAGAGATTCTATTTAGATAATATATCCTATGAAGATCCTATACAGATCCTATAGAGATCTTATAGAGATCCTAATCTTGTCTGGAATGAAAATTCTGTAGAAATTTTGAAAAGCTGTCACAGAACAGGATACTACAGTCATGTTGCTTTGCGATATGACAGAGAAATCCTTTATAGAATGGCATTCTGCAGAAGTTTTTCAAACTGTAATCAAAGAAAATATTTAGTTTCTGATGCCCTGCGTAGAACGTAGAAAAGAAAAATTAAACACTTTTTATTCATTTACATTGAATCATTTTTGAAAGCTGTGACCCTGTTTGACATTTCTGGTTAACTTTCTTATTTGCAAAAATATACGCAGAAAAATGATGTGAAAATTCAGAGTTACTGCTTTAGTTGTTAACTGAAGAGTAGCAACAGGCGTGCTGACCGAAGAATTTCTAGAAACTGCTAGAAGTTCTTCGTACTGACGCTCATAGGCAGTCGTACCCTTGTCTCGAAAGAGGTCAACAAGAGTAATGTGCGCAGCCATGACTCATCGAACTCGAGTCGTACTCTAAACAAATGTCGCATAGCAAACAAAAGTTTTCGCATTCAAACAGGACGTATACCAAATTAGACGTATTTCAAAGAGGTCGTATAACGAGGTACCACTCTCTGTTGCTATAGACTGTGGCATATGTATTACACTGTATGCAGGCATTTGTCGAAAATACATGTGTATATTTATATTAACGATCTATCTTTCTTTTTACAGAGAAATAAACAGACAGTTGTTTTCGACAGCCACTACAGCAAGTCCAACAGATGATTTCCACTCAGCATTTACTGGCATTTCATCACCCATTACTACAAGTCCAACTGTAGAACTAACTTCAATCATCATGCCTTGAAAGACGAATGCTTTATTTTTATCTGCATTTAATATTGCACACGCAGTAGTGCAAGTGACATTAGTTTGAATATTCATTCAAAGTGAAAATAAGTACGTAATTTACACACACACACACACACACACAGAAAAAAAAAAAAAAAAAAAAAAAAAAAGAACAGAGAAGCGCAATAAGTTAAGCATTTTTGATCATAAAATAAAATGCTATGAGACTGAAACTGGATCTTAGTAAAACTAGAGAATTTATTTTGTTGGTGAACGGAACATTTTTACAGATGAAAAAAATATGAAATTTTACACAAAAATATAATGAAATCATACACAAGCGTCGTAAAAGTTTACGCACTTTCATAAAGAAATATTAGATGCAGTATTTTACTTTATTTTTTGGTTAACAATGAATAAAATTCGGAATTAAATTTGATTCCTTTAAGTTCTTATGTTAACTGTAAGAAGACACATTTGTTAGATAATTTATAGAATTTAGCATAATGATTGAATGATCTAAAATTAGTCTTGTATATATTTGTATTGATGATCAGTATTATGAAAATGTTTTTGTATGAAGAAGGAATAACTTTCTATAATAAAAAAAAAAAACCCATAGTGGGTTTTTTTTTTTTTTTTAAATTTAATATTAATTAATTTAATATTAAATTATTTAATATTAATTTAATAATATTAAAAAAAAATCTGAAAGGGTTCAGATTTTAACAAATCCCAAAAGAGCTCTTTTAAAGTTTAATATGATTTATCAGGACAGATTATCGATAGAAATGTCTTAAGTGGAAAAGAGAAACATTTTATACGATATTAGATGAATCTACATTTAAACTACATGGGAATGTAATATATCTTCCGTATATTAAAAAAAAAATGAAAAAATATGTAATGAACTTCTTTAAAAGTATTGAATGTTTTTAATTATATGTGTCAGGAATTAAATGCAACTTTATTAAATCAAGTAAATAAATAATATTCTTACAAGGCAAAATCGCGTTTCGAGACTAAGAGCAGTTTCGATTAAAATCTGAAAAGATTCATATTTTAACGAACTCCCAAAAGGGCTCTTTAATTTAGGAACCTTACCTAGCAGGTAGGACGCAAGCTTTAGTCACGTCAATAATTTACTTCGAACAACAAAAAAGAGGTTGAATATTTTTTGAAACAGGTGATTTAAGAATTTTTAAGCGAAATGTTTTTAAAAAAATGCACTGTGATAAGGTTACATAAAAGAAGAAGAGACTGAAGATTTATATGGACAAGGATGTCTCGTGAGAATAAGCTGAAAATTATTATTTTTTTTAACTTACAAACACGTTTTCAATAGTTGTTATAATAATCTTTATTAAATTAATTAAATCGTTGGCAATGTTAAAAACGCAAGCTCGAGAGCCACGAATTGCTCTCGCACGTAAAATGTATAGAATTTGATTTTAAGGTGAAAATATTTAGGTTTTTCTGTTCTGCAGAATTGTATGTAGCCATTTTTTTTTTTTTTTTTTTTTTTTTGGGCGTTCAATAAAATTTTCATGCTGGTGTTCCGTCATTAGTTTTTGAACCATTGGAGTGTCAACATCCCACCGTTTTGCATAGCGGTTTCGGCCACTACACCACAGCAGTAAATATTAAAAAGTTTGGTGGCAGCTTTTAGGGATTGTTCCCTGAGAGTAAAATTAGGAACGGAACTTTTTCGCCTGTGAACTTGAGTTTTATGTGAACAGTAAAGACTTTCTTCTCTTCAAGAACGATCTAATTTTGCGTGCAAGGACAGTTCGCGGAGTGAAGCCTGTTCAGTGACAAGTGACAGTGTGTCAGAAGGGAACGCCGGAGGAAGCGTGATCTAGTGCCGCAAAATAGTGACATTTCCCGGAAGAATATCCATGTAGTGCCAGGAGAGTCAATCGTAGGCGTCTTCAAAATTGGTGAGTACCATTTTTGTGATTTTGGAGAAGTTATGCCAGTTATTCGAGACTAGGCTTATTTTGGATATAGAGCAGGAAAAGGTTGCCTCTTAATTAGCATTTTTTTATATACGCTTTGTTTGTAGGCATAGGTATTATCATTTAGTGTTGTAAGGCAATTTGTGTTCAGAATTGTTAGGGAATTATTCAGTTTTGGAGAGATAGACCTGTTGTTGTTTTTGTTTTATTGTATTTTCGGGTAGGTTATTTTTCTTTAAATTTTCCATAATGGGTGAGTTTATGAGGAAATTTACTAAAGCTCTGCTATTGGAGTTAGCGAAGGAGGATTTTGATAACAAATGTGTTTCTCAGGCAAATAGAGTAAGAGAAATTAGGCAGGCTATTCTAAATGCCGATGACTATGAAGAAGAAGCTGCGAAAGAATACGCGGCAAGAATTTGGGCTGCGGCTGAGCAGAGAAAAGCAGAAGAAAAAGCCGAGCAAGAGAGAGCAGAACGGGAAGGGGAACGTGAACAAGAGAAAGCAGAACGGAACGTGAACAAGAGAGAGCAGAGCGGGAACGTGAACAAGAGAGAGCAGAACGGAACGGGAACGGAGCGAGTTTTTTGAATTTGGAAAAGTTAAAACTTGATGAATGTGGTTCAAGACTATTAGCCTTAGCTTCCACGGTTTCGAAAGTTGAACAATCCTAGAGAAAAAAAGGGTTAATTTGAAAGATCTAGTACCGCGTTTTGAAGAGTAATATAGATTTTCATTATTCTTTATGCTATTTGAGAAACAAGCTCAAAAAGAACGTTAATGAGATTGATTGGGTCTCGCAATTAATTCCTTTATTACCTTACGATGTAGCCCAGTTAATAGTGAAAGAACCAGCGGATAAAGGGGATGATTATCAGCATGTTAAGAAATTACTCATGCAGAGATTCAAGCTTAGTTCTTGGGCACTAAAAACAAAATTTGAAGAACATTCTAGAAAAACCGGAATGTTATGGGTGGATTTAGTGTATGAATTGAGAGTGTATTTAGAGATTTGGTTGGATTCAGTAGAAGTTCAAGATTTTGAAAGTCTTAAGGAACTTATGCTCACTGAGCATAAGTTCCTTAAGCGGCGAGTCCCTCTAGAAATAAGAGAGCACTACTTAGACAATTGGGAAGAATTTAAAACAGCTTCCATTTTAGCAGAGAAATGCGACAAGTATGAGGCTTTGCGAAGAGATACGAGGAAGTTAGAACATAGAGCGGGGTTAAAGAAACCATTTGAGAAAGATAGAGAGCGGTATATAAATTCTAACTAACTGTAGTTATAATCAGAAAAGTAGTGGTCATCAAAGAATTAAATCAGAGGAGCATAGAAAAAATGGAGGCTCCTAAAAAAGGCAAGTTTTCAATGAAGCAGGTTTCGAGAAACAGCGGAAAATAAGGTGTTACCCAATGTGGAAAGGACGGACATATCCGACCTAACTGTCCTTCGCTGGAAAAGAATAATGGCTAATCTGGTGAAGAATCTAGGAACGGAGAGTTTAGGAAAATGTTTTGAGCCGTATTTCAAGAAAGCTGTAATTAATGGGATAGAGAGAGAATATCTGAGAGATACTGGAGCTGGTATAGATCTGTGTAATAGTACTTGGATTGATACTAATGACTTATTAGTGGAAACTGTATGGGTGAAACAGCCTTTGGACACAGAATGTAAATGTTTACCTTTGGCGAAAGTCACCATTGAAGGTGATTTTGGTGTGGTCACCACAAAGGCAGCGGTTACTCCGGTAGAGTTAGATAAAGAGTACTATTTGTTAGGGAATAAAACTGCACAGTTGATTGAGGAAATTAAGGAACCACCGGTTCTCTTGAATGTTGTGGAGACTCGTAGTCAGGCGCATGCGCGCAGGAGTTTAGAAAGTGAGTGCAGAAGACTTTGATTCCAGATTGGAAGAAGAGAAAGAGATAGAAATTGAAATGGTTGTGAATAATGAGCTTTCGGAAGAAAGGAAATTAACTAGTAATACAGAGGAGGCCATTAAAATTCCAGACATCAGTTTAGAGGAAAGGGCTATCCTTGCGGATGTTTCGCCAGCAGAATTCTCGGAAGCACAAGCAACAGAAACTCATGATAATGTTCAACACCAAACAAAATTTATTATATCGCATACTGAAGGAACACAAGATCTGCAGAATTCGATATTCGAAAAACCCACTTCTATCAAGACGTTTTCTTCTGAGAAATTGCTTCCAAATAACCTTGCTGTAAAAATGATGTTCAATTATAATGCTGAATCAAATGCATATGCTATATGGCGTGCAATGTATAAGGAGACATTACCAGCTATTGTCGAGTTTTCTTTGGATGAACTGACAAATCATAAAGTCAGGAAAAAGAAATTGGGACCTCATTCAAATATAGTTGTAAATGTTGAAGAGTGTTCTGTCTCAGTGATTGATTATTCGAGATCAAATCTACGGACAGCAGGAACTTTAGCATATGAAGTATATGGAGGAGCCAATCCTTTTTATTCTGTGAATTGTGATTTGAAAAATGATTTTTGTAGCGTTTTGGAATTATATTTTTATAGATTTAGATTTGTTTGCATAGTGTGTTTCACTTTCAAAATGGTTAGAATCAAATGTTTAAGTATCAAATGTTTTGTAAACTGAAAAGGTACTTTGTGTAAAATTTGAAGAAATATGCTTTTTATAAGGCACACTTTAGGAGTAGTTTAAATTATTTTTGTTCTATTTGTGTGGTTATGTTATCTTAAATTAAGTGCAGGGTAATGTAACTGGCTTCTCTATTATCACTTAAATGGTTACCACTTGTGTTTTGAAAGCAGTGAAATGTATTTAGAATTTTTCCTTTCATAGTCAAGAAAAATTTCTTTATGAGGGGAGGAGCTGTGATAAGGTTACATAAAAGAAGAAGAGACTGAAGATTTATATGGACAAGGATGTCTCGTGAGAATAAGCTGAAAATTATTATTTTTTTTTAACTTACAAACACGTTTTCAATAGTTGTTATAATAGTCTTTTATTAAATTAATTAAATCGTTGGCAATGTTTTAAAAACGCAAGCTCGAGAGCCACGAATTGCTTTCTTCCCGCACGTAAAATGTATAGAATTTGATTTTTGGTGAGAGATAGGTTTTTCTCTGCAGAATTGTATGTAGCCATTTTTTTTTTGCGTTCAATAAAATTTTTATGCTGTGTTTTGTTTTGAACCTGATGTCACAACCCAGGTTTTGCATAGCGGTTTCGGCCACTACACCACAGCACCAATACATCAGGCATTCATTAAAATGGAACTTTTATGCAATTAGAATCTGAGATTTTGTTTTTGAAAACGTGTTTATAGGTTTCAAATTAAAACTAACAACAATAATACAAAATCTGGTGTGGACACCACATTACTTCTTTGCATGTCTATTAATTATATACAAATTTTGCTGCACTTCATTTAAACTTATTTCCTCGAATTATTCTAACTTAAATTCCTCTTTAGATTT